CACAATAGAATCATCAAACCCACCTACCCCTACACCCTCTTCAGCTTATACCGCATCATTAGCACCATCATCCACATCCACCGAATCATCAAATAGCACTAATAGAGCTTATCGCACTTTCAAAAGAAAATTCCCAAACCATTCATTTCCAACAAAACCAGGAACAGCCCGTGAATATATTAATCATCCAAATCACACTAACACGAAAGATTTTTTAGCAATCACCCTACCTTCATTTCCACAATATACTTTGAACACTCCTAACAACACTAACGACACACGTAGTTTTGTAGATGAACAAGTTTTAATGCCTACACTTCATTGGACATCATATTATCATTTTACTAACCCCCTTTGCCTACCTTTATCTAATACTCACATCGATATAGAAAGAAATCAAGATATGCTATATCGACTCACCACACCACTAACACATAGACAATTTACTTATATAGGATACAAAAAGTCACTAAAAACATACACTGCACCCCGAGCAAACAAATATACGCTAGAATATTACGATCACAACATCATCCGAGCTAACCAAGACCAATTTTTAGATGATGATCGTTTCGCTAACCCACAAATCACAGAAAAATTCTTCATCAAAACACCATATGTATTTACACTCAATATATTTGATCGCAAATTCGACCACGTCATTTCTGAAGCACTAACCGACATGCAAGCTTACGAAAAATTTAAAGAAAGACTTCAATTATTTTCACTAACCTTCAATTTCCTTGCACCACAAGAACGCGATTTGCACTGCTCACACGACATTATGTTACGCACTAAACAAACCCACACATATACATATTATCGCTTCATACAAAATCATTTTGATCTACACACTCCATCAAGACAACCATACCACCGTTTTCAATTTATTAACTCTAAATACACATCACCATTTTTTCTTAACTTCACATATTGCATCAAAGATACTAACCTTCACGGTATTCTTCGCAATTATGATCCCATAACCCAAATGTATATTTTTTGTCCCATCACGAAGACCTTCAACGCAGAAGAATCCAGACCCTTCCTTATCCCACATGAATTTATCCAACCTATAGAAATCCCGATATTAGAATTCATTCACAACACTAAATACAATCACAAATTATATAATCTCATCCAAAACACACCTTATGAGTTTGCAGTTGGCACTGAAGAACTAAAAACTATTAAAGCACTTCAATTGCTTTGGCCACTGCTTCAAACTAAAAACATCATTCGCATACTAGCAAAATTACAAACAAATTCCGACATAATACACGACATCTTCCCCCACGGTTTTTCCCCGACGACTAACAGGTAAGTATAATTTATCATATTCTTCACTAATAAATTTGAAAAACTACTAACCATTCTTATCCATGTCTTATTTAGATTTTTAGTCTTCATCCCACGATCACCTACAAATTACACAAAAGAAAAATAAAAAATAGAAAACTTCTTCAAATTCTTCAAAACTCTATTAATATTTTGCACTAGATAAATTCAATAAAAATCATACCAATGTAGTAAATTACTTTATAAATTATTTCCCTAAAAGCAGTAATTCTAATAATGATGAAAATTTGTAACTTAATTTTTCCCCAAAAAACTAGCAGTAAAATTGAAATTCTATGTAGTAAATTAATAAAACGAAAATGCAGTACTAACCTTTTGATATTTTCATTCACTCGCACACGAATTCTATCCAAACTCGCACAGCTCGCCCACGAAGAATTGTTTAAATAATGAATTTCAGTTTTAAGTTTTCACACTCAACAACTCTAACACACGATAACAAGTTTCAAACTTTCCTTTAACCCGGTTGGAAAGGAATTATATACTAAACAAAACTAACCAACGCAGCTTACTAAACACCACAAATCATAGAATAACAGCATGACTAAGGAAAGGAAACCAACGGTACCCAAACCGGATTAACCCAGTTTAAAACTGGATAATTTATTCTTTTGAAGACTATTATAAAGTCTAAGAAAGAAATAATAAAACACAAAAAAGTCGAAAGACAAACCCATACCAAAAACAATTTGATTTTTGAAAAAAGGACACAACCAACGAAACATAAGAAAAACCACAATAAACCCAACATAAACGTTATCACATAACAGGACCTCTCACAGAAACCGCACGAAATCATACTCCCACTCCTGGCCTAACCCACCAGAGAGGTCGTCCTGAGCATGCTCTATAGCCGGCCTAACCCACCGCGCTACATCCACGCTTTGTGACCACACTTCTATTTTTAATAAGAGGTACTCAAGGGTGAGTAACTCTTCAAAATAACCGAACTAAAACAAAAAGCTTTTGTGAAAACAACTAACCAAAATCATAATTAAAACACCGAACTAATAAAAATTTTATAAAATGTAAATTATACCTTGCAGTATATAGATCAGCATACAACACCAAAGACGAATATCCAAAGACAAAAGGACCCCACTACACTCGAAAAAGAATGGCCAACCACAATCAATATGCCGTCAACAATCATAACTCAAAGGATTTAGAGTACGACTTGACTTCGCAGAAAAGGACTTCATTGAACTAGACCAATGACCACCTCGATGTTCAAGTATACGTACAGATCCGAGTAACCAGGCATCCCCTCCACGCACAATCTCCACGCCATTCCCGGACTAGGTTGAACACAAAAGAAGTTCTCTACATGAAACAGAAAAACCTGTCATAGCAAACCATTCTGAAATCAGATTTGAGTTTGTTGAGAAAACCCAGTCGTTGTCATAAGAAGACATAACGATTGATCCTGGAACTTCTCTAACAGGAGAACCCAGAAGAAATATGATGTTCGCCAAATACCAACGTTCATCATCCATCCTTTGAATTGCAGAAAAACTATTCTAAAAAACTCTGTAAGACCCGGATGGGTGGAACCTGATCTAAACTACATTTTATGATTGGATAAATTAGATATTTTACCACTGTAAAGTATTTAGTATTAACCAATCATGATCCATCTAACTAACAACCCACTTATTTGTAAGTGCTGAAATTACTTGTAATTTCAGCACCAGAGAGATTTGAATTTAACTTAGAAATTAGTTGCCTCTCCAAGAGAACTTCAGCAGCCGCAATAAACCAGTATACCCTAGATCTATTGAGCCTAGCAGAGACTAGTTAAACAACCTGAGACTAGAATAGTATAAGAGTAAGATTAGGATCGGTATTAGACTAAGAAGTTGCACGAATCTATCCGGCCGAAAATAAGATAGCGTGACGAGCAGACGGTGTACCCTATCCGAAATTACTCTATGAGTTGAGACCATCGGTTATAACTCAAAATTCTTGACAATTTTTCAACAATCCGACCCTCTCCAGTACCCTCCTCGTTAAAATCCTAGATCCGACCCTGATTTAAAACACTATAACTGATTTCCTCGCCTTTAAACTTGAGCTCGCGCCTGATTACGAATTAATCGGTAGAACAAATGGAATTTTATGTCATATTACAGAAAGTGGTTTAACATACGATGATAGTAGTTTGTTAGGCATAAGACTGTTGAAAAGACTTTGCCGATTCATGTATTCATGCCGAACTTAGATGATGTCACACTGCACGACGAATATCATCTATTCAGACAACTACACGGTAAGTTTGACTGCAAAACTGAAATCAAAACAGTTTATCAAGCTTCAAATAACAAAATTGTTTAGACTTTTTAAAGTTTTCTCGGTATATTATTTGTAAAATAATATCAAATGCTGTCTGTTGTTCATTCTCTAAACTTATTTGACGAGCTTCTAGAATTGATTAAACATTTTTGATTTTTGTTGCCCAGACAAAAATTTCGCCCAAGCCGTCAAAATGAGGAGAATTTCTCTCATTATTGTAGAACAAGTTGATCTGCTCGACCACAAATCCCTGTCGGACCATCGCATCTCGAATCCAGGGCTCCGAAATCCACACTGATGGATATTTTATATCAATCTCTCCGAATATCCAAAGACAAAAGGACCCCACTACACTCGAAAAAGAATGGCCAACCACAATCAATATGCCGTCAACAATCATAACTCAAAGGATTTAGAGTACGACTTGACTTCGCAGAAAAGGACTTCATTGAACTAGACCAATGACCACCTCGATGTTCAAGTATACGTACAGATCCGAGTAACCAGGCATCCCCTCCACGCACAATCTCCACGCCATTCCCGGACTAGGTTGAACACAAAAGAAGTTCTCTACATGAAACAGAAAAACCTGTCATAGCAAACCATTCTGAAATCAGATTTGAGTTTGTTGAGAAAACCCAGTCGTTGTCATAAGAAGACATAACGATTGATCCTGGAACTTCTCTAACAGGAGAACCCAGAAGAAATATGATGTTCGCCAAATACCAACGTTCATCATCCATCCTTTGAATTGCAGAAAAACTATTCTAAAAAACTCTGTAAGACCCGGATGGGTGGAACCTGATCTAAACTACATTTTATGATTGGATAAATTAGATATTTTACCACTGTAAAGTATTTAGTATTAACCAATCATGATCCATCTAACTAACAACCCACTTATTTGTAAGTGCTGAAATTACTTGTAATTTCAGCACCAGAGAGATTTGAATTTAACTTAGAAATTAGTTGCCTCTCCAAGAGAACTTCAGCAGCCGCAATAAACCAGTATACCCTAGATCTATTGAGCCTAGCAGAGACTAGTTAAACAACCTGAGACTAGAATAGTATAAGAGTAAGATTAGGATCGGTATTAGACTAAGAAGTTGCACGAATCTATCCGGCCGAAAATAAGATAGCGTGACGAGCAGACGGTGTACCCTATCCGAAATTACTCTATGAGTTGAGACCATCGGTTATAACTCAAAATTCTTGACAATTTTTCAAAAATCCGACCCTCTCCAGTACCCTCCTCGTTAAAATCCTAGATCCGACCCTGATTTAAAACACTATAACTGATTTCCTCGCCTTTAAACTTGAGCTCGCGCCTGATTACGAATTAATCGGTAGAACAAATGGAATTTTATGTCATATTACAGAAAGTGGTTTAACATACGATGATAGTAGTTTGTTAGGCATAAGACTGTTGAAAAGACTTTGCCGATTCATGTATTCATGCCGAACTTAGATGATGTCACACTGCACGACGAATATCATCTATTCAGACAACTACACGGTAAGTTTGACTGCAAAACTGAAATCAAAACAGTTTATCAAGCTTCAAATAACAAAATTGTTTAGACTTTTTAAAGTTTTCTCGGTATATTATTTGTAAAATAATATCAAATGCTGTCTGTTGTTCATTCTCTAAACTTATTTGACGAGCTTCTAGAATTGATTAAACATTTTTGATTTTTGTTGCCCAGACAAAAATTTCGCCCAAGCCGTCAAAATGAGGAGAATTTCTCTCATTATTGTAGAACAAGTTGATCTGCTCGACCACAAATCCCTGTCGGACCATCGCATCTCGAATCCAGGGCTCCGAAATCCACACTGATGGATATTTTATATCAATCTCTCCGAACTCGGGAGTTGAAAAGGTTTCTTCCAAAACGTCCTCGACAAGCAAAGCACCTCCGACAGTTAGCATGTTGTTGCACCTTTTCAAAAGCTCCTCGTATTCAGTCAAATCTTTCGTACCTTCAGAGAATGTCCATTCGGAAGTAATGATGTTGTAAGGTCCTGATGATTCTACATCTGAAAGGCCTTCACTGAGGCAACTGAGGTCAACGTGAGATACTTTTCTGCATTTTTCACGAAACGTCTCCACGAAATTTGTACTCTTGTCGCCATACACTATCGACATGAATTGAGGCCAATTGAAGCGTCCCTTTTGCTCTGAGGTTGTGGCAGAAATGAGGTCTTTGAGGTAGTTCCGGTTGGACTCTACGTAATCAGAGCAGATAATGGATTCCACTTTTTCAAATGCTGATATGTACATAACGTTTCCTGTTCAAACAAAATATATATATCTACGCCACCTTAAGTTCTATTTTACACCATCATTTATTTCTGACCCCCTAAACTGTTTCTAGTTAAGCGTCACTGTGGACCAATTTTGAGGGGGCTGCAATAAGACACAAATGTAAGTGTACCACAGAAGGGTCCGGTGCCGATGTCGAGGACCTTCACAGGAGCCTGCATGTCCTGTAGTATGTGTTCTATGTAGAACTTGAGATTTCTGATCTTGAACCGTACACAGCGGATAATGTCTTCCTTCTGGTGGTCGTCAAACTCTCGACTGGGTTCGAACAGGGGGTTTTTGATGGAACCCGTGATCTAAAAAAGACGTTTGTTTAGAGTATTTCATTCAGTAGAAAATTACCTTGAAGAAAACCCTATTTTACTTTTGAATAAGGTACAAGTGCGATAAAGTGATCCATGTTAAAAGCAAGTGTGAGAAAGGGGTCCCATATCACACTAATTTTAAGCAAATACAGCAATTAATTAATTTATATGCCCCGGTCGACGGTCGATCGTTGCAAAACTTTTTCTCATTAGTAATTAACCTGCCCATTTGCGCCAACTTATTCGACTTAAATTGACATATCCTCGAAGCTATAATCGAACAAGTTTGAGGCACTCTTTTTCACATAAAAAACCCGGGTAGTTTCTTGGGAAACTAACCACAATTGTACCTTGAAAAATTCACGGTAGGTTCAAGTTTTCAAGGACGCTTCCTATTTAAAAAAAACTGGAACTCCGCCCTCCACGAGTGTTTCCTCTCTTCGAATTCAGTTTTTCAAACTAATTCATTTTTTTTTGACCACCTAAAATGTTTATAAGATTACACAAAGGTTCATTGAAATTGAAGGAAACTCCATTATAAAAAACAACTAGGAAGACTGAAAAACTGATGTAGAAATTTTTTCCGATTTTTGCAAACGAAAAAATACGACAAAATTTTACTAAGATAATTATAAGCATAAATTAATCATTAAAATCTTTTTGAAGATACCGTTTTACTTAGCATGGCGCCATAGTATTGTTGCAGATATCCCTCTTGGTCAAATATCTCTCCATAGTTTGCCTGCGACTCAGTGAACGATTTTGTCGTCACGTGCTGTTTGTCGACGTCCGTCATTTATCACTAATGAAAAATGTCGTCAGCAGTCAGATACAATACACGCAGAAGAGTCAAATATACTTTTCACGACATAAAATATTAAGGGCACCCGGGTCGAGGTGAGCGATTTATGTTTAGACCGAGGCAACGACCCGAAAAAATAATTCTGTACACAGTAAAGCTGACTTGCTATGCAACAATTGAAAAAAATAAAAGCTATATAAAAAAAGTCGAATTGTTAAAAAATATATCTATTCAACGCAGCGCGTTGTGGTCTAAATGCAAAATTAGTGAATTAAACTGTAAAAGAATTATTGTGATGCAAATCTCGTTATTTTAATAAGTCTAATAAGTCAAGCTCTAATTAGTCATAATACAGAATGTATGCATTTGCGCTTGTTTTCAATAATTTCTGGATTACTGCCGGTCATTTGACTACTGCCAATAACACAATGGTTCTATTTCAGGGGGACCTTTATGATAATAAAAACAGAGCTTGAAATTGGAAAAAACGGCCACCAAACGCTCAGATCAGAGGTTCAATAGACTCATTATTTTTTTTTGAACTTCGGGGACTCATTATTTTTTTTGAACTTTTGAACATCAAGGGTTTTCATTCATTTTTAGAAGAAACTTACAGAATATGAGGCAGGGTTTTCATTCATTTTTAGAAGAAACTTACAGAATATTCTTAGTGCAACTGTTAAAAAAAATGTTAGAAGTAAATTCCTGGCAACTTGTTTTTTTACCGTCTTGCCTGCTATTTTTTGCAAGTTTATGGAGTAAAATGATTTGTAAAATGGTTCAATTGGCCAATTACTGAGTAACTTTCAATGACTACAAAGGCGCGCCGGGTCTATTCTGTTATACGGCCCAAAAGTACTCTTTGTGCCATTGTGCTCGAGTCTGATTGACTGAAAACAGACTGAAAACAGAATCTGATTGACTTTCAATAAAAACAGAAGCAATTGATAGTTTGCTATTTTGGGCCGTATAAAACTTTAATACGGCCCAAACTTGACGAAAAAACTTGGTGCTCCAAATAGGCTCGGCAAACAATCACACTTGCGATGACAAGACAGCTTGTCTAAGTTAAAACTCTAAGTTGAAACTTGGAGAAAACAAATATACAATTTTATCTGATATTTTGAAGTGGATCTAAAATTGATCTGTCTCCTCTTTATCAGCTCGAGTTTAAGCACCTGCTGAAATGTGTCAATCAAACCAGTTTCTCTTGATTTTACTCAAACTTAAGCATAAAGTTAATCCACATATGTAGAAAGCAATTTAGGTAAAGCTTTATCAAAAATGGTAACTTGTGAACGAAGATCATTTTTTTCCTTAATGATATACCTTGATGTTTTTGATTTTTTATTAGGTGATAACGACTATAAATACGGACTTTTTTAAAACAAATTATCACTCTCATCGGTTTTTATAGAAATTTGTGAACCAATTCTCTTGCTGTGCTTCGATCTACAACAGTGGCGTTAATGCCCGACCAATGAAGAAAAGCAAATCTTTGGATCTTTCGAAATCCGAGGAAACAATTGCTGGGCTGCCACGCAGAAAATGCCATCATAGATGACAACGAGGTGAAGATGAAAATATGTAAGGATACTGACACAAAAATGATCTCTTCGAGCATCTGGAAGAGGCTTGAAGAACATTCTAAGATGATCTGCTTGGAGCTTAGAGGCACACGATGGACACCGTTTCTATCGCAAAGGACCAGCGTTGTGTGATTTGATATGGAATGACCGAATCGAATCAAAACTACCTTATAAGAAATGGTACGATCAAACAAGGATTTCGGATTCTATGGACGTGATCTGGTACCAACCCCGTGTCTGATACACGGGTTTTCAGTTAAGTTACCGGTAGTCAAAGGTTATAAGGCCCAGGTAAAACAACAGTTGGAGGTTTTTTTTCGGCACAGCACGCAAGGTTTCATTTTCAATGCAAGATCCAGTGAAAGCAAAGTTACACTATATGATCAAACTCAGTGTATTCGAACCAGTGCAGCCTAGATAAACTAATGCAGATAAACTAATGCGGCATAAGAAAAAAGTCGATTTGAATTTTCTGCTGACTTCAAAGTTCGTAACAATGGCAAAACAATGGACGAAGAATAGCCACTACCCGACATCAAGACAACTTTCACAATTTAGAAGGAGCACAGTTTTTTTTGTAGAAAACTGAATTCTCAGACGCCTACTACCAAACTGAGCTAGATGATTATACAAAATAAGTGTGTACATCCAATACGCAACATAAGTTGTTCAGAATGGGCCTATCTTGACAAAAAAATTTTCCTCGGAGTCTCAGAATTGCATTCAGTAAGCACTCAGTAGAGTCAGCGGTGAAACCATTTTCAAGACAACCTACTGGTCTACGGAACAACAAAAGAGCAACACAAGAATTTATGCTCGCAGAGAATCTCGAAACAAAAAATGAACTTCGCAAAAAATAAGTCAAATTTAAACTCGAAACCACTTTGGAAATTTTTTTTCGGGCTTTTTATTATCAACTATTAAAAACAAGCATTAGTATTGGCTGTTTGCGAAAAATCGGCGCCAAAACACACCTTCGAAACACAACAAACTGTTTGTTTACGGACTGCCAGTTTCTGCGGACTAATGATACCGTTATTTTCTAAGTTAATGACTTACTTTGCTAGATGATTCAGTAAATTGCCAAAGCGAAATTGGCATGAGGAAAAATTGAACATGCTCCCTTACTTTTTGGATAGAGTAGTGACGGTGACCTCCGACTTATATGAATAGACCATTGATGGGATTGTTTCAAAACAAGGTCACTCTATGAACTGCGTTTCGAGGAAGCTATCAGCAGCCAACCCGAGCTACTCTCTTATAGAACCCAAATCTTTGTCAACTTCTTGCTTGGGTGTAAATGCAATCTGCAAACTAATCGCAAAACCTCGCAACAACTCTTTGCTTCAGTCGATGATTTACCAAAAACTGCGTCACCCAGAACAAACATTTGGGCTTTAGCATTAGGATGGCTCGACTAAAAATTGAATAATTTTTATCTCATGCGGATGTTCTAAGTAGAATGCGTTTTGACAAGACAAAAGATCAAAAAATCTTTTCCTTCCGATCGACATCTTTTTCTCAGACACACAGACGGTTGATGTAATTGTTCAGAAGATGTGGATGATGTTCAGAAGACTAATCCTGGAAGACAGGCAACAAAAACTGCATTACAAATTTTTGTCTGGCGAAATGTTTGCCTGACGAAACACAAGATGTAGAAAAAATTCTCGCTAGAACTCAGTTCTGCCAGAAGAACAGACCATAATAAGGAAAAATCGTATCAATGTGAACAAAAACAGAAGTCTCTGAACAAAACCATAAGGTCACGGTAGAGGCAAAAATTGGCTACTTATAATGCTGACGGTCAAGTAATTCCAATTAGCAGTCTTTGCCATTTTTGAAGTACCAAAAACGGCAGTCTGACAGCGAAACCAAATTTGTTAGCAGTTACTTCAAAAGCTGTTGCAAATCTCAGGGCGTACGCAGAAGGGAACCTCCGATCTACCACCCATGATTGATTGGACTGGTCAAAAGAGCAGTCCGTACAATCAAGCATGATATGAAGGCACGGGGCAAATATTTCATTCACTCACCTCTTGTTTCTTCAACATGTGCAAATGACTAATCGCAACTATTCAAAACCAAAATGATCAAAATGAAAAACAGCTGCAGAAAGTAGTTTTGGACAAAAATTCAGATTGCCATCAGTGTTAGATATTGGCATATAATGTTCAAACCAAGAAAAAGACCGATGGAAAACCTGCAACTTATATCTTTCAACATGGAGTCAAAAACAGTTTGGATCCAACTCCATGAATCGGAAAGGACAGTTTTCCTAGCTTCAAGATTCAACCAAGAGACCGAGAGCAAAGGATTCATAGACAAAACGAACGAAGCTGGAGCTTTTGAGATACCTGTAAAAAAACAGTAGCAAAAACCGGTTCAACCAACTACTGACATCGACACGTCTTCGTATAAAAAGAGGGAGGTTGTGATGACATGAGAACTCAGCCAGGGTAAAATTTTGTTTTATTTTGGAAAGAGTAAATGTACAATAAAATTGCAAAAAATTGTTTTCTTTAGAACGCAAGCGACAGATCTATCTGGCTCAAAAGTCAGTTTAATTTAAATTAGAAGTATTTGTTTAATTGATAGGTCGTTACTATAGATGTGAAACAAGACTGCTCCTATTTTAGGGCAAATTGGCTTACAGCAGTTTTTGTTAAGAAACTTTTGATTAAATTCCTCAAGGACAGTCAACATCGACAACTGAATATTGGAGATTGAGTCGCTTAGGAGTTTTATGACTATTCAACTCACCTGATTTCATTTTTGAAGGCGGGACTAATTCGTGCTACGCCTTAAAATCTCAGTTTCAGTACCATATATATAAAGTCTTCAAATAATTAAGCGACAGTTTTCGGTGCGCTCAAAGCGCATTTAGGATATATTCGAATTTTTGGAACTTTTACTTTTATTTCCCCAGGCTTGAAAAAGTAAAGTTATATGACTCAAGCTGTGCGAGATTATCCTTTTGAGTTTATGTTTTGCTGGGTTCATAAAAGGCAAATATATGAACAAAAGTGAGTACTGTTTCTCTGACAGGTTAGTTTTGACGGTAAGAAACGAAGGAGTTGCAGTACGGGTGACGCTGAAAACATGTGTGTGGCCAAGCAGGACTAACTTTCTGCTGGTGTTGGCACGGCGAGGGAAATAGAAAGAGCTTGATAGACAAATATACGATTGCTATTTCCATTGCAGAGTGTAACCGGCAGACTGACCTCCACACTAGGAAAACTCTAGTCATGCAATTTCCTACTATGAAGTTTGTATGACTCGCTTTTTTCAAAAATAGCGTTTTTTCATCAATACAAAATTAATAAGCGAAGGGTTTTCAAAACTGATACCATCAATATAATGGAAATAAAAATGATTTCAGAGATTAAACAAGACTGCTCGTAATCAGGGCAAACCCCTGAATGATCCGACTGGTCCTTAATTCATATTGAATAGTTTTTTGGAAAATAAAATATTGAAAACCTATACATTTGGACATTATCAAACTAAGTTTAAAATTTTGAGTCGTAAGAAATTAATGCGACCAATTAGCTAGCCTGAATTCAATTTGGAAAAATTTTGCTGGGATAATTTGCCACGCATAAATAACTCTTCAAAGCGCGCATAATTTAGTCCAGAACATGACAAAGTTGAAAATTTTCGAACCCCCAGAACTTTTAAAAAACAATCGGAGGTGAAATATCTT